AAATATAAAACTTGTATTCCTGTCTTCTGGAGATAATTGTTGCTAATATTTTGGTATATAAGTCTTAGGATATTTTAATTTAAAAATTTGAAATATTAAACTGGGTATGGTGGTACAAGCCTATAATCCCAGCACTCTGGGGCACTGAGATAAAAGACTCTCTGGTTCAAGCCCAGCTTGGGCAATTTAGTGACTTAGCAAGACACTGTCTCAAAATAAAAAATAAAAAAGGTCTGGGACTGTACTTCAGTGCAAAGGCCCTGCGTTCAAGGGGAAGAAAGGAAATGTTAATTGCCGATAGTCATTGAGACTAAGAATTTTTCATTTTTATTTTTATTTAGTTTTGGTTTTTGAGACAGGGTCTCACTAGGTAGTTGAGACTGACCTGGAACTCACTATGTAGCCCAGCCTGGGTTCAAACTCACTGTGATCCTCCTGCCTCAGCCTCCCGAGTGCTGGGATTACAGGTGTGCACCACTATACCTGGCGAGACTAAGAATTTTTTAAAAAGGGTATGTTTTGTTCCGTTCCATGTATAAAAAAATTATATTGGTTTGGTCCCATCTACCTGGATATTCCTCTGTTGTTCTAGTAATTAATAGACAAACTGTAGTCTGTAAATGCTTGTAGTAGAGAAATTCCACTAGAAAATGTATAGTCAAGAAAAATTATCAGAAGGTGGTACTCCAGTATTTGGTTCATTTTTTTACCCTTAAGGGTATATTTAGCTAAGAGAATTGAAAATTGATTTGCTTTCACTCAGTCATAACCTCAATTATTTTGAAATATAATTCAAAAATTTTTTATATCTTAATAAAGCTGGAGGGGCTAAACGCTAGATTATTAAGAGTATGTTGATATTTGTTTTCAGCACTACTTTAAAGTTTTTTCTTTGTGGTTTACATGTAATCTTTCTCATTTGAAACTGAAAAAAATCTTAACCATATTATTTATTTCTGTATTTTAAGTTTATAGAAGAAACTATTTTGATTAAAAGAACTCAAGCTGAGGGTCAAGCTTAGTGATAAGAATACTTACCTAGCATGTGCAAGGTCTTGGGTTTGATAGCTAGTACTGCAAAAACAAATCATTTTCATTTTCCCTTTCAAATTAGAAATAATACCCAATTTAAGCAAAGAAAATGGGTTTTTGGCTAAGACAGTTCTGAATTTGATTCATGGTTCTACTGTTTCTAGACTGGTGTGACACTAGGTTGGCTAGTTATTTATCTTGTTGAGCTTCTTTTTATGCATACTTCAAATGGAGATAATAGTTGTACACGGTGGTGAATGCCTGTAATCCCAGCATTCTGGAGGGCTGAGACAGGAAGATCACAAGTTTAAGACCAGCCTGAGCAATATAAATATAGCAAGACCCTGTCTTAAAATAAAAATAAAAAAAAATTAAAGGCTGGGAATGTAGCTCATTAGCAAGGCCCAGAATTCAATCCTCAGTAATATATACACACAGAGAGAAGAGTACCTCACAACATTATAAAGATAAGTTTTAATAGTAAAGGAAAAGTCTGGCATGTGTGAAGTATACAAAATTTCTCTTCCTTTTTTTTAAATCCCCAGGTCCTTTTCCTTTAATGAAATGAAATTCACATAACAAAATTTAAAAATTAACCATTTTATATTGAAGATATACTCCTAAGTGAAATAAATAAGTCACACATGTGTAAATACCGAATAATTTCCCTGGTGTGAATAATCTGCAATAATACATAAGATCCTAATAAGATTACTGACATTTAGAAATGGGAAGAAAGGAGCTAAAGGTGTAGGGAAGGTGGGATGGGTAGGGGAAGGGTAATAAGGGAAAAGAAAAAAATGTGAGATAATGAAAAGATGGAAATAAAGTGTTTGTAGATGGGGAGGGGAGGAGGGGGTGAAGGGAGGGCAGGGGTAAGGGGAAAAAATGAGAATCAAGACTTGTCATGTAGAGGTACAAGATCCCAACAATGAATGTAACTGTACTGTATCCCTAAAATGTACCACTAAACTCAAAGCTGGAAAAAAAATTAACCATTTTAAAATAAGTAATTCAGGGACATTTCGTATATTCATGTTGTTGTGCAACCATCTCATATCTAGTTCCAAAACATCTTCATCATCATCCAAAAAGTTAACTGTATACCCATTAGGCAGTTGCTTCTCATTTTCTCCTAAAACATTCATCACTGGGCCATAATTCAAATGTCTCATTGTGGCAGCTCTGATTTGAAAATGTTACATTCTCCCTGTCTTGAACCATGGGTGCTACATGCATGACTGTGCCATCAGGTGGCTTTTTATTAAGTGATTAGATTTGTTTGCACCACCTCTGGAACGGACAGTGGTTCAAGCCAATAAGAATGTGTTAACCTCCAGTCTGTATGTTATCTCTATGGATATATTGTATATTTATCTTTTCAAAATATTTCATGTAAATAGAATTCAGCTGCATGTTCCTTTGTGTCCAACTTCATTCACTTAGCATGATACCAGTTCGTCCATGCTGTAACACACACATCACTGCTTCATTCTTTTTAACTTTTTTTATTGGTACCCATTTGCCTTATATATTCCTGTGTGGAGTTGGTGCATGTATGTAACACATCTTAGTTCATTTTCCCATCCCCTTTTCCTCCCCTCCCTCTCCTTTTCTCCATCTCTTTCTTCTCTTCCCATTTGAGAAAGATCTATCTCCCTACCTCCTATTATCTTTTATTTTGCTCTTTATTTGTAATTTGGGTTTCTCATGTAAGAGAAATCATGTGATATTTAAGCTTGTGTGTCTGATTTATTTTACTTAACATTATGATCTCAGAGTGCATCAGTTTTCCTACAAATTACTGGTTTATCTTTTTAAAAAAATTTTTGTAGCCATACATACATTCTTTATTTCTTTGTATCATTATTTAAGGCAAATTATAATCTTTTCCCACTTACAGTAATACACAATTGCCTCTTTAACTTACATTAGAAATTAGTTAAAAGAAGATGTTAGGTAAATGAAAAGCACAGATTAAGAAGCTTTCTTGTTGTAGTCTCATTTATCAACTTCTTGTGTTACCTGTGCTGTTGGGGTCTTACACAAAAAGGAAAAACTACCTTTGTCCATTCTGAAGCATTTCCCTCATGTTTTCTTCTAGTTGTTTTATAGTTTCAGATATTAGGTTTTTAAGCATTTGATTGTTTTATTTTTATTAGTATATATTTGCCATACGTTATATGCAGTTTAAAATCATCTTGGGGGAGTAGGTACATATATGTAATACAGTTTGATTCTCTTTTTAACTTCCCTTCCCCTTCCCTCCTGCCTCCCTCCTCTAAATCCCCTTTCCTTATTTTGGTTCTTGTTGATATTATTAGTCTTTGTTTTGTTTTGTTTTGTTTTTGGTACTGGAAATTGAACTCAGGACTTTGCATTAGTGAGGCAGGCATGCCACTGTGCTAAATCCCCAGCCCATTGATATTATTATTCTTATCTCATGTTTATGACATAGTGTTTACATTCATTGAAGTTATGTTTCCTGTACATGGCATATCTTTATTCTACCTGTTTCCCCTTCACCTCCCCCTCTCTTCTCACCCTAGGTCTCCCAGACCCCTTTCCTTTTGCAAGAGATCTATCTCCTTGTTTTTCTTCTATCCATCCTTTATTATGTTATTTATACTTTGTCTTACTCAAATGAGAGATACTATATGGTATTTAAGCTTGTGTGTCTGATTTATTTCACTTGATATATTTTCCAGGCGCATCCATTTTTCTACAAATGGCTTGAATTTGTCCTACCTTACAGATAACTAGTATTTTATTATCTTTAGATACCACATTTTCTTTATCCAGTCATCTGTTGTTGGATATACAGGCAACTTCCAGGATTTAGCTATTATGAATCATGCTGTTATAAATATTGGTATGCATGTATTGCTGTAGTATGATGTCTGTCCCTGTAGTATGTCTTTAGCTCTTTGGAGAAGATACCTACAAGGAGATAGCTGGGTCGATCAAATGGAATTTCTAATTTTAGTTCATTGAGGAAACTCAATTTTGACTTGAGTTGTACTGGTTTACATTTCTACATTAATTTACGTAATGGTTGTGCTAGTTTACATTTACACCAACAATGTAGGAGGGTTTCTTTTTCACTGCGGCCACACCAGCATTTATTTTTTTACTTGATTGCTATTCTTTATGGGATAAGATAGAGTCTTAACCATCGTTTTACTTTGGATTTCTTTAATGATCATAGATGTTAAATATTTTTCATATATTTGTTGTTTGTACTTCTTCCTCTAAAAAGCATCTGTTCATTTCACTTGCCCATTTCTTGAATTTTTGTTAGATATTCACATAAAAATTTTATTAAATATAAGTAGTATATCCTTGTTTATATTTCAAATAACTTTTTCAGAAAAGTTATTACTTTGTGACCACTGAGTACACAGTATATTTTTTTTATTTGATGTAGTTTAATACTTACAATTTCAGCATAGTATATATATACATGAAACAATATAATGTATTCTAGGCTTAAATATGTATAATTTTATTTTTAAATTATACCTCTGTAAAGATGCAAAACGGAGATAATCAACTGGCCTCTGAAAGATGAATCAAGCCCTAGGTAGTTGCTTTGCTATTTTTCTACGTTGATGTACAAGATGATTTCTATAAATGGCATGCTTAGGTGGTGTTTTCTGAAGGAAAGACTTTTTTTTGCACTAAGAAAAAATACAGAAAGTAGCCAAAAGGTAAATTGCCAGAAATTTTCACTGTGCTACATTAAAGTTACTCTTATAAAAAATCTCTTTTTTATGGAAAATTAGACTATTTCATGATGATACAAAATCTTAAAGTACCTAAAACTTCATTTTAAATAGTACTTTTATTTTAAGTGATTTTCAGGGAATAACCTTTGGGGAGAATTTTAAAGATTAACTTCTCTTGAGTCATAAGAAAATAATGCCTTAATTATGTCATTTACTTTAAGTTTTTGTTGTTTTTCTCAGTTCCTATTGCAAAGAATAAAGAAAAAATAGAATCTTCCACTTCTGACGCAAACCAGCCTTCAATGCAGTCTTCACAGGAAACTGCTGTAATACTGCCAACTCAACCGATCAGGAAATCGGCTCGAATTAAACCATCTGGATCTTCTTCAGCCCCTAAGAAGGGCAGTACTTTTAAAAATATCACAGCAAAGAAAAAAGGTCAAAGCTCAGGAAGAAAGGTTAGTTGTATCTCCTGCTAATTTGAATATAGGTCTCTATAGTGCCTTATTTACGACATACAGTTAGGAATTTTTCAGTAATATGATTAGGCTCTTTAGGAATGTACTAGGGTCATATAGAGTTCTTTAGGGCCACACATAGCTATTGAAAAATTGACATTTCTTGGGTAATCTGAAACTTTTCATAACCTTCAATACCATTGTGGATGCAGTGTATGGGTGTATTTGTGTTCTAGCTAGTTAAAAATTTATATACTTTATAAAACTATTATGCCATACTGGAGATTGAATGCCTCATACATGCTACACAAGCAACTCTATCACTTCACTACATTCCCTGCCCACCCCTTTCACTTTGAACCATGGTCTTGCTGAGTTGCCCACACTGGTCTTCACCTTACAGTTTTCCTGCCTCAGCTTCCCTAGGAGCTGGGATTACAAAGCATGTGCCTCTGCACCTGGCTAAGATTCAGTGTATTTTAAAAATCTATATGAAGTGCATTTTTATTGTACATAAACTATACTTAAGTAAATGGATGGGAGGGAGTCAGTGTGATGAGTTTAGTAAGTTTGAGTGTTAATGGTTTATATCTAGACGTCCCGCAAAGACTCATGCCCATCTCTTTATGCAAAATGCATTTAGACCATTTTTAATAGTTGCCAAAGTCCGGACAGTTTCAGCACTGCTAAAAAGTCCAAGCCCAAAGCCTCTTTGGAGATTTAAGGCAAACTCTTAGCTATGAGCCCCTGTAAAAATGAAAAGAAAGTTCAGTTCTGCCAACATACAAAGGTACAGGGTAAGCATTCCCATTCCAATTAGAAATAGGAAAGTAGAAAGGAATGGGACCAAAGCAAGACCCTCATGCAGCAGGGCACACTCTAAATCCTATAGTTCATGTCCAGCACCTGTGGCTAGATGTGTGAACTCCAAAGGACTCCAGTGCCTGCCCCTACAGCACCACTCACTTCTTGGGGCTTTCTACAGACATTCCACATTCCTGGCTTACATGCTGGGAACTCCACTGCACTGACTTCACTCTCACAGCTTCACAACTGCCCTCTCAGGGGCCACTGCCTGACCTCTCAGGCCTTCTTCTGAAATCTGAGGGGAAGCCTTCCTGACCCCCAACTCTTGCATTCTGTGTGTGCCTAAAACCAGCAAGCCGAAGTCTGCTACCAGCTGGAGCAGTTAACTGAGCCATTTTGCATCTTGCTGGTGATTGTGGAAGCCTCTGAGTGCCTGAATGACTGAGCATGGTGCAGAATTCTGTGGAGTCAATTCCCATTCCCTAGGCTGCTGCCATTCTTCTGGAGCATAGCTACCCTGGGGCTCTCTTCTCAAAGCAGTCTTTAACCTTTGCAATCTTGAGCCTGAAGAGCTGGAATCCTATACTGGCTCTTGTTATGCCCTCAGGCCATCTTTTCTATTGTCCTGGTCCAAAGTACTTGGCTCTTTTTTTTCTACTTGTATTCTCTCTAATTGAAGGATTTCTCAATTAATTTTAAGTACATGAAATCACTAATTTTAACTGTTTTAAGATACATGTATTTATATCAATTTACAACAGCAAATTACCACCCATGTCAAGATTTTGAAGAAAAATCTTACATGTGAATGCCACTATCTTAAATATGAAATTTCTTAGAACATCCTTATTTCTGCCTAATAAAAATGTTACTCTCCATTTCTAAACCTCAAGAGTTTCTATTACCTTTAAATTCCTTACACCTCTGTTTTTTACAAATATGAGTATTTCAGATCAGAGTTTTGTTTTTGTTTTTGTTTTTTTTACTCAGTATGGATCTTTTTTGTTTGTTTGTTTGTTTGTTTGTTTGTTTGTTTTGAGACATGGTCTCACTATGTAGTTGAAACTGACCTGGAACTCACTATGCAGCCCAGGCTGGACTTGAACTCACAGCAATCCTCCTGCCTCAGCCTCCCGAGTGCTGGGATTACAGGCGTGCGCCACCAGTTTGGATCTTATTAATTAGGAATTTAATGAGTTTGTAATTCACTTCTATCTCTGTCAGTATATCTTTTCTGCAAATTTTAATGCCTCTGTTATTTTTCTTTTTCTACTTTTTCTTAATTTTTCACTTGTTTTCAATTCCAGAAACTCTGAATATGTATAATCTATTTTTGTCCACAACTCAATGACAAATTATATGAACTACCACCTGATGGCAGTAATTACTGGTTCCTCTATTCAGTATTTCAAATATATCTACACCTCTCCAACCAGGGCTCTGAAAATTTTCTCTTTACATTATTATTATTAACATTTTAAAATTGTTAATTTTTTTAAAGGAAGTTAAACCACCATTTTCTAATTTTGTCAGGTTAACATTTAGAATGTCTTTACTGTACTTGTCCTATCCACAGTATTTTTATCTAACACATTTGGCTTTACAACAAGCATCGTTGTAATATTACATGGCAAAAATAAAACAGTATTTATTTACCCAATGCATCGAATATGTGACATGTATTCTTGACAGTTTAAAACTATATAAACTGAAAAGTTTAGATCTAGCTTATAAATCTATTTTGAATTTAGGTTTATTACCCTATATAACAATTTTAGATATTGTTTTTCTTAGCTAGTTTTAACAAATCTTTCATAGTTACCTCTCTACACTTTTTAATTTTTCTGTTGGCTTCAGTAAATCATTCAGCAAAAATTTCAGAGGTTTTTGGTCAATATATTTTCCTAACCCCTTGGTATCTGTAAGAAAGTCTCCCAATTGCCTTCATACATAAATATCAACTTGGCAGGGTATGTAATTCTTGATTCAAAATTATTTTTCCCTTAAAACTCTGTAGATACCATTTCATTGTCTTTTGGCATTTAGAATTGCAAGAGAAAAATCTGAGGTCAGTCTGACTTGCCCCTTTATAGGTAACCTGCTGTATCAGAATACTTGAAAATTTTTCTTTATCCTTGGAATTTAAAAAAGGTCATAAGGATATGTGTAAGTGTTGCTTTCTTCTCATGAAATTTTAAAGGTACCATGTGGGCCTTCTTCATTTGCAGGCTTACTTCATTCCTCAACTCTTTTCTTCAATTAGTTCCTTGATTATTGTTTCAGCTTCATTTACTTTGTCATCTGTTTCTGGTATTCCTATTATATGTAGATTATATCTCTTGGACAAGCCCTCTACATCTGTCTTTTCCTCCTCTTTTCTTAATTTCTTTGCCCTTTTCCTCTGCATTTTGTGACAATTTCTCGTTTTGCATTTACTTCAGCAATTGTATTTTGTGACCAACCCTGCTTACGTTTCCTTTAAATGGAAGGCCATGATTTCTTCTATGTGGTCACACACCACCTGCTGTTTAATTAAGCCTACATGGGCAACAAACTTTCTTATAAGATGTTCAATACTTTGTAGGTGATTGCTATAGCGTGGTATGTCAGTATGAAAAGAGGCATTTTCTCAATTACTTTGCTCTAATTCTTTTTTATGCCTTCTTAGGACCTATTCAATGCCTCATCCCATTCTCAAGCACCAAAGTTGGAAAAAAAAAGAGTACTTTTTTTTTTAATGGTACCGGGAATTGAACTCAGGACCTTGCGCTTGTGAGGCAGGCGGTGAAACCACTGAGCTAAATCCCTGGCAACACGAGTACTTTTAATGCTAATCTATTCAGCATCCAAGTTCTCCTTTTACCATCTTTGCAGGCCTCAACTTTACCCACACTTCCGTTTTTTTTTGTATCAGGGATTGAACTGAGGTCCTTGTCCTTGCGAGGCAGGTAGCAGAACCACTGAGCTAAATCCCCGGCCCTACCCAAGCTTCCTTTCTGGCCAAACTCAAAACTTTTAAAATCATTCTGCTGGGCCATTTGCTCTTGATTTGCAATGGAGAGCTGGATAAAAGCTCCCAACAGCACCTACAACAGTGTTTGGCTGTCTTAAAATTTCCTCTACCAGGTTTATTAGTCCACTACCCTTATTAAAGTCAGACTTCCACAAATTTACTGAATGTGAGTAAAATGCAGACACATTTTCTGCCAGAACATAACACACGTGGCCTGGGATCCATCTGCCAATGGAGTCCTTACCAACTGAAACCTCTTGAGCCTGGTCTTTTCTGGCTGTGTTACCATAAAGATGATAGTTTCCTGAGCTCTGACCAGAATCTCCCATCAAGCTCAGCTCACAGCATTCTAGGGCTGTTTCTCTAGACAGGTCTCTGAAACTTTCTAAACTCCCATAAGCCCGTTATAAAGGTTTCTGAACCACATGATCAGGTAGCATCACAGCAACAGCCCCACTCTAGTACCAAAAACTGTCTTACTTTCTACTTGTTGAGAAACAATACCCACCACCCACAAATTAAAAGAGGAAAGGTTTATTCTGGCTCACAGTTTATAGAGATTTCAGTTCAGAGTCAAGGCAGGGTAGCGTTGTGGAGGGACCTGGCAGAGGAGAATTACTTATGGCATGACAGTGGGAAGCAGAGAAAGAGAGAAATCAAGGGAAGAGGGAAGGAGATAGATCGTTCCAGGCCGTGCCCATAGTGACCCACATCTTCACCTCCCAACATCATATTTAGTTATAAACTCATCAGTAGACTAATCCACTGGTATCATGCCCCCATTATCCAATCACCTCCCAGCACCCCCTCTGTAAGCACATTAAGGGTTTGGGGGTACATTTAGATATAAATCTGTCTTAGTTATTTTCCAATCGCTGAGATATTGAGTTACATTTCACCTGATCCCCCCAAAGAAGACATGTCTAAAATCTGGAAGTAATAGGAAAAAAAGCAATTAATTGAAGATAACTGGAGAATGAATGGAAGCAGATAGGTTCTGTTGGCAGGCAAAGTACACCCTAAGGAAGGGCTTTTATACAAAGTAAGTTTCCATTTTTGTTTTTAGCATTGGTCAGGTGCACTGTGTAACACGTTAGTGGCAGTGGTGTTGCTTGGAAAGCTACAGTTTGTCTGGCATGAGGAAACCAGAAACCAGAATCTGGGAAAACTGGCTCCTAAAGGCATTTGAGAGATTGTAGAAGGGAAGAAGCCAGGCTGAAGACCCCCAAACTGTTACCAACACCTCTGACAGACCATTGATCCAAATGTGTGGATAGCATAGATGCCAGCTTAGCTAAAGTAAAAGTTTTACATTGAGGCTAGAGTTATGCCCAAGATCAAAATTTAAAGTATCTCCAACAAAGATAATTTTCTGCTGAAATATAAGACATAACACCCATGAGAAAAAAAATAGAATCCAGACTCTACATAAATTAGCATTCATAATGTCTAAGATGCAGTCCACAATTGCCCAAAAGACATAGTAAAATGAACACATTTCTGGCTTTGTTGTTGGAACTAGCAAACAAAAATTTTGAAGTGGCTATTAAAATTGTCCTTGGGGACCGGGGATTTTCCTAAGTGGCGCCTGCCTCAAGCACAAGGGCCTAAGTTCGATCCTTAGTACCAGAAATAAATAAATAAAAAGATAGGCTATCTTAGCAGAGAAGCAGTCTTAAAGTTTTCTATCTAATTCATATGCTTAAAAAATTTAAAAAAGGTGACAGGAAAATTAAAATGAAGTTCTGAGTATTCAGGTAAAAAAAAAGACCAAAAAGGAGGAACAAAGCAAAACACAGAGAAAACAAATAGAAAACAAATAATAAAATGGTAGACCCAGACTCAAATATAATAATAGCATTAGACATTAGTGGACTAAATTCTAATTAAAAGATTATCAAAATGGAATTTTAAGGGCCAGGGATTTAGCTCAGTGGTGCTGCTGCCTGCCTCGCAAGCGCAAGGTCCTGAGTTCGATCTCTGGTACCAAAACAAACAAACAAACAAAACCTCAAATATAGCCTGTGTATAAGAGATGCATTCTGAAAGGACAAAGTCTCACCACTGTTGAGGCTGTTTGGATTAAATTTCAGTGGTATTACCTTCCAGTGGTGGTGAACCTGTACCATGCATGCCACAAGACTGTTTGTATCATTGAAAGCTCTAAAAAGTTCGCCACCACTGCCTTAAGACTTCAGCCACCTAATATCAGTATTTATACCATTTCTGTTTTGTTTCAATTGATGTTAACAGAACAAAGTAGTAATACTATCCTGATTTTAAAATACTTACAGTGATATTTTTACATAGCCATTCAAAATTTAAAGAGATTTTTAGAATAAATCAATATTTTAAGTATATGAACATTGAAAAATTTAGCAGATTATGCTAATGTGAATTATAGCAGATTAAAGTTTTAAATTTAAAAATAAAATTAAGTTAATAGTGAAACGTGTGTTTTCCTGCTGATGGGTAGTCAGTCTTTTTGGTTAGTATAAAGGCAAAAGATGTTAAGAGAGTTCTGAATAATTTCTTTTGACTGTTTTCCTTTTGCAATGCTAATTTGATAAATTTAAAGAGTTTTTTTGTTTTAAAGAAAACATTAGTGATTGGGAGAGGGAAAGGATAGGTAGTGTAGTCTTTTGATAATAAACTATAGTATTTATTTCAAAGGCAGTATTTTGGTTCAATTTCATCTTTAGTGTCATTATTTCACCATGAAAAGATGAAGATTTTCATACATGTACCTATATTCATGTCTCAGTACTGGCCATATTCATAGCTTAGATATTCAGAAAGTCTTTGAACTGAGTAAAACTTATTTGTAGTAATCTTTTTGCTTTGCAAACTGTCATTTTCTTAATAACCTTAAGGATTTTAGAAGTATAGAAGCGCAATTTCTAAAGAAGTGTATCTTTACTCAGTTTACAATGTTGATGTGAACATAGTGTCTTAATAGTATTTCTCAAGTCAAGGGATTCAGATTTTAAAATCAGAGTAACATAAATGACAATAGTTATAATTCAGTATGTAAAAATAACATGATTTACTTAGAATACTATAAACCTAAATGATAATCAGTAATTCACACAAATTCCAACACCTTTGAATGCTGTCTTGTTCTTATTCCTTTGTCCCTGGTATTACCTTTTCTAGGCACAGCAGTCCCTTTTCTAATTAAAGAGTAGTATTTGAATGAAGTTTCAAGAAAATACGAAAACTTGATATGACATAAAAGGAAACATCACAGTGATGTTTAATAATGCTCAGAAGACATTTGATACTTAATACAGTAGGCACAATTTTCTATGAACTTTAGCAAGGCTTTTATAATTTCGTCAAAATTATTGTTGTAAGGGCCGGGAATTTAGATGAGTGGTGCCGCCGCCCGCCTGCCGCACACGT